ACTGAATTGTGATTGTTTCCTTCATTCAATAATTTAGAAAATTATGAAAAAATGAGAACATTTCAATTACCACGAAACTTGAGGAAAATTGAAAAATTGGGAAAACTTGAGAAAAATTGAAAATTTGGGAAAAATTGAGAAAAATTGGGAAAAAACGGAAAATTTGGCTAAAAAAATTGGGCAAAAACGAAGGAATATTGAAAGCAAAAGGAAATGAAATAGAATTGAGAAAAAAACAATTAAGAAAAATTGGTAGTGAGGGAAGTATGGACTGGGGTTTAAAACCTAAATTAAACATTAAAATCCTGAGTTTGTGAAATTTGTGAAGATTATTTTACAGTTCTCTATTGTGTACGTTCTAGAAATTTCGAGACTCAAAAATTCAAAGCAACTAATGCCTTTCAGCAAATGCCCAACAATTTCCACAATTTTTTTCATAAAGAGTGAAATATATGACACAAAATCAAAAAGAACAATCAAAAGACAATGAGAAGTGAAAATTTTCTGCCGTAGTTTTTGAAAATTCAGAAATATTGAGATTCTGAAGTTCTGAAATTCTGAGGTTTTGAGGCCCTGAAATTCTGAAATTTTGAAGTTCTGAAATTCTGAGATTCTGAAATTCGGAAGTTCTCAGATTTTCAGTTTCTGAAGTTCCGGAATTCTCAGATTCCGAAATACTGAAATTCCAAAGTTCTGAAATTCTAAGAATTCTGAGATTTTCAAGCTCTGGAATGCAGGAATTCAGAAACTCCTTCAAAAAATTGTACCCCCGAATCACAAGCGTTGTACCCCTGTTTGAAATGGGTTGTACTCCAGAATCATTGGTAGTTTTCACCCCCAAATTTTTGAACCTACTAATTTTGTACCCCCGAATCACCAATTTTGTACCCCTAAATCAGTTGTACCCCCTTGTACCCCCCAAATTTTTTGCCAACTATAGGATTAGGCCGAAAGCCTTGTTTCTTTTGGTAGTATGGGAGACTCTGTGGTAAGAAGTAGTATAAGAGACAGTGGTAGTAAAAGAGACTCGGTAGTATGGTTGTATAAGAGAATTTGCCGAAATCTCCGAATATCTTGCAATAGGCAATTTTTCTTCAATCAGCCAAATGTTTCTGAATTATGAATGAGAAGAAATAATGTTGGACAGTTATCTCTGTTCCAAACCACATCAAAAGCGAAATTACATTCTTGAATAACTACATGGAAAACAAAAAAAACCACTCATAATATGTAACGAATGTTGGAAAAATCAGGCAGCTATGAGCGCTGAAACTGTAGAATCCGACTTGATGTTTACCACATGAGATTCAATGCGATGTACCCTCTGAGACAATGCGATGTACCCCCTGAGTATTTCAGAGATGTACCCCATGAGAAAGCGAAAAATGTACCCCATGAGATTATACCTAAAATGTACCCCATGAGACTATGTACCCTCTGAGACTTTGTACCCCATGAGCACGATGTACCCCATTCTGATGTACCCCGGGAGAATGGGCCTTCCGGTCAAGATCGCTACTGAAGCCGATCAAACTTATAGCATTTTCTCTAATAGAAGCTCTACCTACTTGAGCTCGATTATCTCGGTTCTTATGAGAGATATCAAAAATCTGTCAGCTGATAAATTGTTTAACATAATATTATCAATAATTCATCAATTGAGAGATTTTTGACCAAAACCTGACCATGACCAGATTGTCAGTCGTTTTTGGGCAAGTTCCGACCAGAACCTGGCCAAAATAGGTCTAACTTCTCACCAGAAGTTACAAGTCTACAGCTGAAAATGCTCACCTTCTCCGCTGGCTGATAGTCACACATTTCCCCTTTCCATCCTTGTTCGCAAATGCAAGGTTCATTGAACAGAAGACTCTCCGGGTCGAAACGAAACCCGACTGATAGACCTTTTACTGAAAATTGAAAAATTAAAAGATCTAGGACCCCTGGCTCAGTATGAAAGGGTACATCGTAAAAAGGTACATTGGTTCCAAGGGTACATGGGATCTTGGAGTGTAAGGTATTTTCACAATGTACCCTTGGGACCGATGTACCATAAGAAATGTGCCCCTGGACACTGGGCCCCAAAAACCCACCACACTCAAAATGTTCACAATGATCGCCGGTTTGTCCCTTGATGCAATGACAAATGCCTCCAGCGAAAATCCCTCCATTTCGACACGGCGCTCTCGGATCATCCAACGCCACATTATCCAAAATACTCCTCTTCTGAAGTATCCGGTGGACGTCGCTCAACACACTTTCATCGAGATCATTCGCTTTTATTGGTGATGGGGTTAAAAATAGAAAAAGTAGTACTAGTTGAAGTACTGGTCGTAAACAGTGCATGGCAAAAGACTACTGATTTATCAATTGATTAGGTAGGGGTTGTGTATCATGGCGAGAAAAGAAAAAGAGATGAAAACAGTTTATGAGAGAGACATGAGAGAAGTATAGATGACGTAAATGATTCAATCAGAGATCAAAATAAAAGCGACGATTCTGATTCCAAAGTATCATTTCCTGTGCAGACAGTCACGGGACTCGGACTCGAACTCGATTTGCATGTTGATAGTTCCAATGTTGAAGAAGGTTTTTGGGTTTTCTCCGGAAGAGACAAAAGACTTTGGAATGTTGAAAGTCACTCTTCGTTGGCAAGGTTTGATTCCATCGTCGCAGTCATGATAGATATTGAGCTTTGGGTCGATGGTCATCACTTCAGAAGTGTGTCCGGTAAGGAGGAATTGGCCTAGAGAGTCGGTGGTTCCCTCAGCGAGAAGATCGTCAAGATCCGGTCCTGGAAATTAAGATTTGAGGATGTCTAGGAAATCTGCTGTAGCCGTCCCATGTTACCGTGCTTGCTCTAATGGAACCCCACTCAAACCGATAACATTGATTCAATTTATCTTGGTTCCAGTAAAAGATATCCAAAATGTGTTAACTGAAAAAAAGTTTAACATAACATCACCACCATTTAATTAGGTGATCACTTTTCGATATCTTTCATAGGAATCAAAATAGTTGGGCTCAAAGTTACAGTATGCAAGCCCACCCAAACTGCCAACTTTGAGCTCAATTATCTCGGTTCCTATGAGAAATATTGAAATTGATTAATATTGAAAATTGATTGATTGAAAATTGATCAAAATGTTTATCATAACATCACCAACATTTTATCAGTTCACCGATTTTTGATATCTCTAACAGAAACCCAGATAATCAAGCTAAAAATTCAAGCTTCTGAAATATTTTCGAGAGTAACGAACCATCAGCGGATGACTTAAGGATCTCCGCTAGGCTCACTACCTTCTAGATCTAACTTACCAGTATCATCATCGTAGAGCTTGACCTTGGTATTCGCAAGTGGCTTATCACCGCACATCAACACTCCTTTGACCCCAGCCGACTGCGTGAAGACGGCTTCAGAAGCGCCGATGAGAACCAGCAAGACCGACGAAATGCAGAGGATTCGAGACATTGACTTCTTTCTGACTGAAAGTGTCTGGAGAAACGACACTTTTATATATTACCTTGACCATGAAGATACGGGAGAGAGAGAGGAGACAGAAGTCATCAGAATTGACTAAACAAAGAAAAGAACTGGTTTTTGATGGGGGAAAAAGAAAAGATAAAAACAGATCGGAAGTATGTGAGTCACATTTCTGAATGTAAGGAGCTGCTTCTTTTCCATTATCGGAGAACCTAGGATTCCACCTGATTCACACGATGTGTACCTTTTCGCTGACTAACACCTCTTTTTAGAAAGTAAACAGAAAAATAAGATTCATTTTGAGGCTAACCACTTAATACAGTTCAAAAGGGAAAGAAAAAATCAAACTACAAGATACCCGGGAGAGATACAGTACTCAAGACAAAAGTGGAAAATAAATCAATTAAACTTTTCCATCGTCTTTGGCTGGAATATTATATTTCATTCGATAGGCTTCCAACTCGGCTTTTCGTTGATCGGATCGCACACTTTGTCGATCTTCCATCTCTCTTTGAGCTGTCATCCTCTTGTCATTCCATTTCTGAGCTTTTGCTTTCTTGTGAATCCGATTGTATTCTTTGCACTTGCAACAACAATAGCAAACGCAAGCGATCAAAATCACGGCAATGATGCCGGCGCAGATGGCAATGACGATGGCGGCGGCGGAGGTGCTCACCCAACAGACATTGTACTTGACGTTCTTGATGTTACAGTCGGGGTAGTACCAGTCGAATGGCATACATTTTTTGGTTTTTCCTCCGCACCAGAAGCATTGCTGGAAAATTACCGTAAACTTAGAATGCCCAAACACACCCATCCCAAACCGTCCGTCAACTTTGATCCCTTATATCTCGATTACTGTAATAGATACCAAAAAGTAGTCAACTGATGAAATGCTCTTTATGTTATGATAGACATTTTATCAAATGATTACTTTTTCATACCTCTCACAGCAACCAAGGTAAGTTGATTGAAAGTTACCGTACTCCCTCTAATGGCGCCAGAGGTCCACCAAAACCGTCAACTTGGAGCCAAGTTATCTAGGTTCCTGTCAAAGATTTCAAAAAATGGTTAACTAACAAAATGTTTATTATAATATCACCAATATTTTGTCAGTTTATTACTTTTTGATATCGCTTACAGAAACCGAGATAAATTGGCTCAAAGTTACAGTATTTTCTCTAACTGAAGTCCACCTAATCCATCAACTTTGAACTCAATTGACTCGATTCCTGTTAAAGATATCAAAAAGTGGTCAACTGATAAAATGTTTATCAAAATGTCACCAATATTTTATCTGTTGACTGCTTTTTGATATCTTTCACAGGAACTGAGATAACCTGGGTCAAAATTGAGAGCAAGGCTGTGCCACGACCGGCAGCGGCATATGTGTGACCAGCTAATGAAACCCCCACTTCATAATATGCTATGACTAATTTGACATGATTTTGATCCTAACTCTGATCTTCACAAATTTCGAAACACCTCATGTGACACTCACCGATCCTTTACCAACACACGTCTCACAAGTGTTCAAATCGTTCGACCCAATTCTACAGTACTCTTGTTTCTCGGTCCATGTCATATTGTCAGCAGCAGCTACCGTAACCAGAATAGCCAGGATAAGCTTTCGTTGAATCGTCATTTTGGGTTCTAAAAAATAGAAAATCAATATAGGCTTGAACTTGTAGTACTTGAGTGGCAGAAAGGGAGTAAAGTAAAATAAAAAGTAACAAAAGGAGAAGAAGAAGACAAACGAAACTGACGGGCTCCTGGTGTTTGTATAGCGAGTGCCAAAAAGATGTTGTAGTGGCGGTGGCACCCAAAAATAAAACATAAGGGGTTTGTGGAAAAATTAGCTTGGTTTATGTCTAAATTTTGGAGCAGGAGGAACTTGATTGCCCGCCTTGTAATAAAGAGGTCGTTCCTATAAATGATATCAAAAAGTGGTCAACTGATAAATTGTTTATCATAATATCATTCATATTTTATCAGTTGACAAATTTTTGATATCTTTCACAGAATTCGAGATAATTGAGCTTAAAGTACAAGTATAGGGTGGTCCTCTTTTAGATCAAATAGGTAAATTTGAGCCCATATTTCTCAGTTGCTATGAAAGATATCAAAATTTTGTTAACTGATAAAATATTGGTGATATCATGATAAACATTTTATTAGTTGACAGATTTTTGATTTCTTTTATAGAAGCCGAGGTAATTGAGCTCAAAGTTGGGTACGCTTCTATGAGAACAAATCCTAGAAAAGAAAGAGCTCTAACTTTAAGATAATTTATCTCGATTACTGTAAAAGATATCAAAAAATTTTCAACTGATAAAGTGTTTATCACAATGTCAAAAATATTTTATCAGTTGACAGATTTTTGATATCTTTCACAGAAACTGAGATAAATTGGCGTCAAAATTGACTCCTGAATTTATGAAATTCGTTTTGAACCTCAGAAAAGCTAGCTTTTGAAAAATTCCGGGTTAGCTTCAAAATAGGGAAAATAGGAAAAAAAAGCGAAAAAAAAGAAAAGTTAACTGAATTCATACGTTTTGGATTGCTATCCATTATGTTTATTCAGCTTTTGGTTTCCCCGTTTTTTTCAATTAGAATGGAGGCGGAAGACCAAAAGCGAGCTCTCGAGAGAAATATATGAAAATTTTTGATGAAACTCGATATCCAACTAGTTTTCGAAAATTCAAAATTTCAGGAAACTTGCGAACGAGCGTGTGGAAAATGGCGAAATTCGGCGGTTTGCGAGATGCCAGCCGAACACGGAGACTGTCAACTGGCGATTCCAAAGTAAGTTGGGGGTTGCTTCTGTTATTGACACATAGACACCATGTAAACAGGACAAAAATGTGGGAAAGGGTTACAAAAATGTTTGGTGATCGGTTAGAAGTTTCGGGAAGAGGAAACCTATAAATATAGACCCAGATGTGCATACATTAGCATGCAAAAACAATGGAATCATATGTTTCACGTAATGGTATGAGTCAGGTCATGAACTTTGATGGAAATCTGGTTCTGTGGTTTTCCAGTTAATTGGTTAACCAATCTGAATTCAGAGGGTATATGAGATCTTTTAGTACTTTAGGAGGACGAAAAAAGGAACTTTAAAAATACCGTTTTGCTCCAACAGAAGCCCACCCTATACGTGCTCTTTGAGCTCAATTATCTCGGTTCCTATGAGAGATATTTAACATTTGTTAACTGATAAAATATAGCTGATTATACGATAAATAATTTATCAGTTGTCAGATGTTTGATATCTTTCACAGAAAGCAAGATAGTTGAGCTCAAAGAAAGGTGGAATTTTAATTGAGCAGTTAGGTGTTAAGTCCGATCCTATAGGATAACAATTACGGATTTGAGGAATCTGGAGGGATCACAAAAAAGATTTTCAACAAACAATTTCTAATTTTGCTACCATTTTCCCGCGTTCAAACACCCATTCCTACACTCTACTTCAATATTTACCCTTGCAGGTTTTAGCAAAACTACTGTAAACAGTCTCATTGAAGGTCACTACAACTGCTAACTTTGAGCTCAATTATCTCGGTTCCTGTGAAAGATATCGGAAAGTAGTCAACTGATAAAGGATTTATCAAAATATCGCCAATATTTTATCAGTTGACAAATTTTTGATATCTCGTGTGGGGATCGAGATAATTGGGCTTAAAGTGCAGTTATGGCTGGCTTCTTTCAGAGCTTTGACGGTATGAATCAATCTAAATCAGTCTTGAATATCTCCTTTTAAAAGCTATGATAAATAGAACAGAGCTAACAATTTTGGAAATCTTCTTTTTGGGTGTTTTTAAGACAGTTCTCTATTCCAGATGGTACCACGACTCCACCACCAAACAATGCAAAATGATGATGTGGACTGGATGCGGCGGAAATGGGAACTCATTCTCCTCCAAAGCCGACTGTGAATCTCTCTGCCGAATCGAATCCTCCTGGACCAACACCACCGACTTTTGTACCCTCGAACGCAACGCCGGACCATGCACCGACTCCATCTCCATGTGGTATTTTGATCATTCCGAACAAGACTGCAAACCATTCACCTATGGAGGCTGCCGTGGAAATCAGAATCGTTTCGTGAGCAAGGAGCAATGTCTTCAGAGTTGTCGTGACAAGTCATCCGAAGACACGTGCACGCTTCGTCCGGAACCTGGACCGTGCCGATTGGGACTTGAGAAGTACTTCTACGATCCAGTGACCCAGTCTTGCCACATGTTCCATTATGGTGGATGTGAGGGAAATGCAAATAGATTCGATTCAGAATTGGACTGCTTCCGTCAATGCTCTAGCGTGAAGGCTGAAGCGGGAGTGGAAAGAATGGCTCAGTTGACATCGGCAACCACTCCAGTGATCTACATTGTCGACAAGAATCCCCTCTACGTTGGAATGACTGTAAGTTACCACGATATACAAAAACGTGTTTTCAGTTGATTTTTGGTCATTTTCAGAAGTGTGGAGCTCGGTTATCAAGTTTCCGTTCACTTTGAAAACTTTGGAGGGTGTGAAACAAACCTAGATTAAAAAATTTGCATTTACAGAATTTTCTGAAAACTTCTAGTTTTTCAGTTATTCGTCGATTTCTAAAAGACACTCGTTTTTGAATTAAGTCAACTTTGAAGGCGCATATCTCAAAATCGGCTAAAGCTACTAAACTGTAAAAATAACTAAAATGTAGAACGTAAAATTTTACACATTTTTGCAATTTAGACTTTTTATTAAAATCTGCCGTTTTTGAGATATGCGCCTTTAAAGAGAGCGTACCCTTACTTGCGCTCTTTCTTTGTCGCAGGAACGGGGGCGCCGGGTAGGTCTACTTTAAAAGCTCATATCTCAAAAACGGCAGATTTTATTCAAAATGTGTAAATTCTAAAAATGTGTAAAATTTAACGTTCTACATTTCAGTAATCTTAAAAATTTCAGTAGATTTTGCCGATTTTGAGATATGCGCCTTTAAATTTGACTCAATCCAAAAACGAGTGTCTTTGAGAAATCGGCAATTAACTGAAAAACTAGGATTTTTCAAAAAACTCTGTGAATGCAAAGTTTTCAATCTAGGCCTGTTTTACATTTTCCAAAATTCTCGAATTGATCGGAAACATGAGCCGAGCTCCGGGCTCCTGAAAATTGCCAAAAATCAACGGAAAAATGAGTTTTTGTATACCGTTTTGTATACCGTTTGTATATCTGATTGACCGGCACTTTGGGCCTACACAAACTCTCCTACTTTATAGTTCCGCATTCGATGCAATGGCCACGGCGTCACCCCAATCACCTGGTACAAGAACGGAGGCCTCCTTCAATTCGGCACCCGCATCACTGAAGAGAACGATGATACTTTGGAAATCGTGGATTCCTTAACTTCGGATGCCGGAATCTACACATGCATTGCTGGACAGGAAAGCCAGATGAGCGACGGAGTGGAAGTGGTAATCAAGAGAGCCATCGGTGGAAGAACTACCATTCGCCCAATGCTCACACCAGCTCCGAACTTTGTCATGGGAACACCCCCCACACCTCGCCCATCGACATCCGCTCGACCACACTCGACCGTGGCGACCGTCTCCAACGCTCTAATCCGCCGCACAACCACCAAGGCGTGCGTGGATGTTGGGAACACCAGCACCTGCGATCTGATCGTCAAAAACGGGCTGTGTGAGAAGAAGCGTTATGGAACGTTCTGCTGTCACACCTGCACCAAAATCCACAGCTTCAAATTCTAATTTCAGTATTTCTTGTGTATCTCACTGCCCCGTCGCCTTCATAATATCTCCGTTTGTGAGATCTCTTCTTTCTTCTTCTTTATTTTCTTTTTAATGTCTTCACACATTCTGGCTAATGCCACCCACACACACATTCTTGTCTTCTCTTGTCTTTGTTTTTCTCTCCCGTTCCAGAAGTCAAATAAATTGTCTTTGCATTTGAAAAACAATCCTCTTGAAATGCATCCAGGTGTGTAATATGAAGAACATCTACATAATTACCCCCCATTCTTCGCATTTCCCAGAAATGTTCCTTCTCAAAGTCATCGTCCTCCTTAGCCTTCTGAATTCTTCTATTGCTCAAAGAAGCCGTCGAAAGCAGAAGTTTGTCAGGCTGCCAAGCGGATTCACATTTCCGGCGGATGCAGCAAGCAATTTTCAGAGAGATTCTTATATTCCAGCTACAGTAAGACCCCTAGTAGAAGGCCACCAACTTTGAGCTCAATTATCTCGGTTTCTATAAAAGATATCAAAAATCTGTCAACTGATAAAATATTAGTGATATTATGATCAACGTTTTGTCAGTTGACAGTATTTTCAAATCTTTCATAGGAATTGAGATAATTGAGCTCAAAGTTGGTAGTAGTGTCGGTGGCCTTCTATTGGAGAGAATACGGTATATTTGACAATTGGATTTCAGTTTGCTCCTCCGAATGAGAAGATTTTGCAAGCTCCGCCAAGATACGTTACTGGAGAAAATTATCTGTCCAGTGGTGAGTCCTAGATTCTAGGGATCCTAGACCCTGAAAATCCAAGGATCCAATGAATCCTAAAATCCTATGAATCTTAGATCCAATGAATCCTATGATCTCATGAATCCTAGATCCTATAAATCCTAAATCCCATGAATCTTAGATCCTATGGATGCTAGGTCCTATGGATCCTAGATCCTATGGATCCTAGATCCTAGTTCCTATTGACTCTAGATCCTAGATCCTGGATTATATGAATCCTGTAGATCCCTGATCCTTCCGATCTTTCTAGGCTCCCCTTCCCCGACATCGGAGCCTCATGGAATGGATTACACTGAATACAAAAAGGCAATGCAGGCATACGCTTCAACACCAGTGGTTACACCACATCCACCAGAATCCCCATCTATCTATCAAGCTTCTCCTCCCCCCGCAGCCACGGCTCCAACCATTCCTCCGGTTACTGTAGTTGAGTCACCCGGCTCCGAAATCGCTACCACCATAGCCCCTGGACCAGCAACCACTGCTGCGACGATGGGATTGAAGAAGGAGAAGTGAGTTTCTTTCTTGTTATGTTAAATTCGAGCAAATTTGCAGTATCGGTGGCATCGCTCAGAACCTGAACAACCGATTCTCCAGCTTATCTTCTGAAGCCAAACAGTCACAACGGGGCCACACGTACACAGCTCTAGGTGGTGGACAGTTCTATCAAAGTCTACTAGGAGGAGTAAACTTTTTTTTCCAGAAAATTCTAAATTAAAACTTTCAGAAAGGAAGTTTCTCCCCATTATCATTCTTCCTGAATGGTGGGTTGGGTGGTGGTCATAACAATGGATTCTTCGTCCCTGTACCAGTGGTTATTCCACCGCCACCTCCACCTCCGCCTGGTCCGAAATGTTTCACAAATCCATCTGGATTTCTTTGTTGCAATGTGACACTGGAAAAGACTATGGAGGAGGCGTATATCGCTGCTAGAGACGGAGGAGCTTCATCCTGTAATGTGCAGAAAATGGCGAGCGCTGTGCAGGCGGTGAGCTATGGGGGTCTTGTTTGAAACTTTCAGATAAGCTGAACAAGAATAGAGCTTGATTTTTGTAGTTGACAAATTTTTTGTAGGAATTCTTTCAAATGAGATATACCGGTTGAAACCAACCAAGTGCCGAAACTTCCGCAAATACCTTTTGGGCACTTTGAGCTCAATTATCTTAGATGCCGTCAAAGATATAAAAAAGTTATCAACTAGAAAAATGTTGTTCATATTATGACAAACATTTTATCAGTTAACAAATTTGATAGCTTTTACAGTAACCGAGATAACTTCTATTAGAGCAGTAGCACTGAGTCCAGTCACTTTCAAGTGGCATATCTCATTTGAATGAATTTGTACAAAAAAGTTGTCAACTACAAGATTGAAGCTCTATGTTTGTTTAGTATATTCTATAATTTTCGAAAAAATCTTTAAAAATCTAAAATGTTTTGTAGTCGTCGAAAATTAGCTATATTCCACTAGATATGCCTAAATCGTCAACTTTGAGCTCAATTATTTGGGTTCCTATGAGAGATATTAAAATTATGTCAACTGATAAAATATAGGTTATTTTTTGATAAATATTTTATCAGTTGACAGGTATTTGATATATTTCACAGCAAATGAGATAATTGAGCTCAAAAGGCACAATCTCTTTTTTTCCAGGTAGCAGAGAAAAAGTTTGGCACTACGTTCGAATCGGTTGCTGCTCACAAGGACTTCGTAGCCAAAATCAATTTCGCTGGCGACCTAAACTGCAAAATTGAGATCGACGGGAAGTTTATAATGGCCTATGCGACGCCAATGTCCGAGCAGGAAGTGAATATTGTCGATGCCAGCTCGTTCTTCTCCGGCGCAGCCGATCCTGACCTAGAAGGTGTGAATGGCACGAAGCCAACGTATATTGTCTATGGACCGATAAAGTAGAAATTTAAAAAAATGTTTTGTGTGTGTTTGTAAATTTTGAATAAACTTTTTTCGATAAAAAAGGTAAAATCGTAGAAAAATCGGAATGGGGAGGTTGGTTACAAAAAATATATACAATTTACAAGATGATAAAAAGGAAAAGGAACATCCTAGGAAGAAAAAAAAAGAAAATTTACACATATTTGAAAGAATTTTTGGAGAAAGAAAAAAAAGGAAAAAGAGAGAAAAATCAATCATTTAGGGTGTACAAACAAGCATCCGGAAGCGTAGGATACCGACGAGTCCGATGGAGAGCGAACCTGAAAATTCAAAACTTTGATTTCAGATTTACAGAATCAGATCTCCTCACTTTGTTGGACTGTGTGTAGTGCAGGAACCTGAACTCGTGAGTGTGATTGTTACTGAGACGGAAGCCTTCTGCTGCCTGCAGCATGATGAGAATCGGATTCCGTCCGCAGATTGTGTTTTGCGTCTTTTTGAGGTAGTCGTTGAAAACAGTTGGATTGAGGGTTTCGATCGCGCTCATTCCCTGGAACATTTTTTTATTAGTTAAAGGAATGTTTGAACGTTCTCCTGGTCTAATTTCAATGCTTGTTTCGGCGGAAAACGCATTTTTATTTTCTGGCCCAATTTTATTGATTTATCGATAGCGACTTGCAGGATTTTTGTGGAAAAACTTCAAAATTGACGAAATTCAAAATACTTTTTGGCCTTTTTTATCGATAATTTCAATTGTTTCCATGCATTTTTTTTTTGCAATTTGTCGGATTTTTGTGGGAAAAAAAGTTCAAAATTAATGAATTTATAGGAAATTCGACAATTCGCACAAAACTTTGAACTTTTTCGCAAAAATCCCACAAATCGCGAAAAAAAATGCATGGAAACAATGAAAATTATCGATAAAAAAGGCGAGAAAATATTTTGCGTTTCGTCAATTTTGAATTTTTCTTCCGCAAGAAACTGCATATCAATAACAATGAAAACTATCGATAAATCAATAAAATGGGTCAGAAAATAATTTCGAAAAGTGCTCCTTTAAGAATGAAGCTAAACGCCGCCCACTTCAAATTTTTGACCACACCGCACATTGAAAATTACCTGCTTATCCAAATTCGTAATCTGCTCATAAATCGGCAAATTACTGTTTCTATCATACGGTGAAAAGCTGAATCGATCGCCCCAATGACAAAAGTCTGAAGAAATCACAAAAAGATTCCTTGGGTCTTCCATATAATGCGCGAAAATGTTTCCATATGTTTGTTGTCTAGACCCGGGCAAGGATCCGACCAGCACCGGAATGATCGTATAACGTCGATTGCCCATAACTTTAGCAATAAATGGAAGTTGCATTTCGATACTGTGTTCCGATTCTTCATCTCGGCGATCCATCAAGTCGAAGTGACGGGTGGCGCGAAGCTCTTCGTTGACTAAATTTGAAAATGAGCAAAAATAACAAAAAATAGTGTGATACTTTTATGATCAACGCTCAAGTCACCAAGAGGAGTACGGTATTTGCTGCAGGTGGTGATTGCACAACCGTTCAATGCGACAATATGAGATGGTCCGAGGATAAACACGCGTTCGCTGAAATTGCCTATTTTAGCTCAAGACCTCAAGACTCTTATCACATACACAGCAGATGATACAACTTGTTTGAACGCGTACGCCGCTGTCTCTCCACAGTAGGAATAGCCGGCGTGTCTGAAATTTTTGAACTCAGATGAATGAACGGGCTAAGAAGGTGTTACGGTGAAATTAGCGCTCTCGCGGTGCCAAATCGATCGCCGGCGTTGTCAAGCCATTTAGTGAGTTGACGATCGAGATCCCGCTGGTTGCCGTTGTACCACGAGCCGGCGTGCGAGGCGGATCTTGCGTGCTCGCCGAATCCGTTGAGAGACATTACACTGCTAGAGGGTCTAGAAAAAAGGAAATATAGAAAACTTTCGGTTTGCGTCATCTTGTGTTCTTTGTCAAAAACTTTTTCAGGTGATTTTTCCGGAACATTTTTATTCAAATATTTTTCCCGCGCTTTTTCCGATGGAATGCAGGTTTAACACTATCAGTGCAGAAAGACGCTTTCGCGTCGAGACCAACGCGCATTTGAGCGCATTTACATAACGTTCCGAAGAAACCGCCGTGAGTGTCGATTTCTACTGATCGCCAAATTTTTCGAAAGGTAGCTCAAAAGCACATAATTTTGGAAAAATAGCCAAAAATTAGCCGACTTTTTCAAATACACTTACAATAGAAATGTTAGATATCGTGCGAAAAGAATGCCAAATGTCCTGAGAATTAGTGCACAAGAGGTTTGGAACACCTGCAAGGAGCATTCTTATAAGGAGACAGGATGAATTTTCGGAATAATTTAATTTTGTTGCTTTTTTCTATCAAAAATTGCCGTTTTTTTTCCAAAATTCGGCTCGGTGATTTTTTTAAATTTGACAAAATTCGACAAAAAATTCAATGTTATTCTCGCCATGTCTAGTCTTTTTGGCTAATATCATACATTTTCCGAAAAACTCGAGAAAAAAAGGAAAAAGACAACAAACGCAAAAGTTTTTGTTGTTGTTGGCCATTGGAATATTGGGTATTGATTGTCTCAATCAAAACGACATCGGTCGTTTCAAAACGATCATAATTGAATCATGATGCAAATGGCAGAGCGTATACAACTATAAAAGCATATTCCAGATCTTTTTATTCCGGAATTTTCTTAATGTACCCGTTGAATGAAGTTGGAAGACGTTGGTTGTTGTGTCACACAGTTTGACGCTTCTGCTGACGTGTCACGACGATATGGATGGTATTTGAGAGGATGAGGACCGCGCTGATCTTGTGCTGGTCGTCGTCGTCGTGTCGTCGGACAGCCACGAGAGCTCTTCAATCCACCAATTACCTGAATTTATTTTTTCAGTTAAAAAAAAATTTCCAGTGAAAAAGCGGCGAAAAACGCGAAAAAATTCTAGAGTACGATAGTCGTCGTTGTGGGACATTCAATAGTGAAAAGCGACACAAAAAATTCTTGTGTCGTTGGAACAAAAAAAGAGACAAAAGAAAGTGAAAAAAAAGCAGAAAATGCCGAAGAAGGAGGGAGCGGAAAATGGAGAGAATTGGAGAAGTAGGAGGAGAAGGACCACTGTTTCAGCAGAAGCTCTTGAATATTGAAGAAGGATGTGGGGAAAAGCTTAATTGGAAGATAATTTGAGAAGAGGATTTTCCAGGAAAATCGTGGGAAACGATTCAAAGTTCAGTTTTCTCGAATTTTTGCTTCTTTGTCATTTTTTGCTTGTTTCAGTTAGCAGGGTTCGAACTTCTGTGGTAAATATGATGCTGCGCTTTAATGAGAAAGTGTGACGTGGTAAAGTTTTAGGTCGTTAAAAATTCAAATTTCCCCCAATTTTTAGTTCTCATTAAAGCGCAACAGCATTTATCAGTTTTTCATATTTTTAATCACCATTTTTCCTTCTTCCCAAGTCAATATTTACATCGTATCATCCTCAGTCTTCCGTCGTTCATTTTCTCTTTTTGTTTACACCTTCGGCCAGGTAGTAGGCTCGAAAAAAAGCGTTAAGATTTTTCTTATTTTCCTTCCCCATTCGGGCCTAATTCATTTCATTCCGATCTTCGACCTAAAAGAGGTGAAGTGACCTTTTCTGTGGATCATCGGGACCATTTTTTTCCAACGTCATTCGGTCCTTTTTGTGATGGGAAGACGAGAGAAAAGAGACACATTCGTACATACAGCCAGTGACAGAGAAAAAAAAATGGGAGAAAAGGAAAAATGTATGGGCACGCAATGATGATCAGATCTTTGATCCAGTCGAAAAAGAAATCAAAAGAGAATTTCAACGATTTCCGAAATTTAGACATTAGAGGGCGCAAAACCATACATTGTTTATAAAATTGAAGCAAAAAGAAGTGGTTCTATTTAGAGAAAAATGATAAAATAGGACTTTTTTGGAGGAGATTTTGGATTTTGATTTTTTTTTTTCAAAAATTAATGTATAAGATGGATCAACGAAACGGGAAATGTGACTTCGGGGGGCAACAACTAGAGTAGAAATCGAACGAAAGGCGTTGGTGGGGGGCAAAACCGGGAGGAGAGAAAGACACTCAGCTGACTGGGAATGCTGTCTCGCTCGGCAAAACGCTCTCTCTTTGCCTCGTTTTTGCCCCTCTTCTCCCGCCCCGGGTCGTCTCACTCGTCGATCCATGTTTGTTCGGTTGGAAAAGTTGTTCGAATCAGTAGGAGGTAATATTAGGAAGTTCTGATTAGGTGATAAGTTATCACTGATAACATAAATAAAATACAAGGAAATACAAATACATGACCAAAAAAATACTACAGTAAATTGCATAAATTATGAGCGCATCTCGTTGATCCAATCTTCGAACAGCCGCGGGCACAGACTTCGGCGACACTGTACGCAGACTTCACGATTGCACGATTTGCATAGGGAGAGGATGAACGGCTTTCGGTTTTTAGAACGAGACGAACGGGCTGGGGGTCGCTGGCTGCATTGGTGGCATCCGAGGCCTTGGACTTCTTCGTTAAATGAGATGCGGTGGCGGAAGATGGCACCTCTGGAAACAATTTTTGAAAATTTACATATAAAACTGTTAATCAATTTTCAGGTGCAACCAAAGCTACAGTATGAAAAATTTATTCAGAGAGAAGCGAAATCAGCCATTAGCGTCGGGGAGTTTTCTAGGCCATTTGCTTCTCCACGTGGATTGTACGGCCAGTCAAGGAATATCCATGCGCCCATGAGGAGTTGGCACCGCGCCAAGCTATCATTTTTCGAAACGAAAGCTGCGTCGCGAGCCGCAGCGCCGGGGAATCCACGTGGACAAGCCTGAGCAAACTTCTGGTGACGTTCCAGAACTTACCCATGAAGAACCGAGTCAGCAACGCGCTTCACGTTCTCGCTGTCCTTATCACTACACTGCAACTCTTGCAGCTCGACAAGATACTGATGAAAATAGCCAATATTCGTTGGGTTACTAAGAACAGAAAGACAATTGTACATGGCTTCAACTGCCGCATCCGCTACATTCGAATCGTGCGCGTATTCAGAATTCAGGTTGAAGCAGAGCTCGTAGAACAAGTGAAATGCTTCTGATGTGAGTTGAGTGTCAGCTCGGTATTCTCTCAAATAATCGACGCAATTCTGTTTCAAATTTGTCATCAAGTACTTGTCGCAAAGCCGGAGTACGGTACCAACGTTTCGCTCTGAAAGAAAAAAACAAAATTCATTCCAAAAGATATCTCTCCCCAAACCATCAATCGGATCCGGATACATGCCCAACGAATTCGGAGAGATGACAGTGATCAGTGTGCGTATGTCGTCTGCCGACTCGTCAATGATCCTTAACTGTCTAACGGCGCCCTCGACGAAAAACGTGTTCCCCATCAAGATGCGGAAGTAGTCGGAATTCCTTGAAAAGATTGTGGGATCAACATAATAGCGCTTTTCGCCAACGCTTATCGGCCAGTTTCGGAGCTTGCTTGTTGCTTCGAAATCGACCTAAAATGGAAACAACATTTCGCGACTCGTGCTTTTTTCTAATTTACGTAATCAGATCTATCAAGAAATGTTTCATGGCTTGTTGTCGGTTGCATTAGGATGACGTTGACCGGAAAACTGCTGTTTATGCCAAACCGCGATTCGCAGGGCTCGCGGACCTGAAAAACACAATTTTTTGGTTAAATTTCTTTTTTGATTTTCGCTAACTTCACCTTTTTAAATGATCTCATAGTGTTGTTAGTAGTGAATAATTAGTGATAAAAGAAGGAAGAAGCCGAATGAATCCAAGAAAAAAATCATCTCAAAATTACACAACTACCGTAATCTTTAAAGGAACATTCTCAATAACGTTTATGGGTTTTACAGCGACTTTTTAAATTTTGAGCCTGGCGGCTTGACTTTTGCTCATTTCTTTCTTTTTTTTTCCTCTAAAATATAATTTAAATTTCCTCATTATTCTCCCACATTCACATCTGCAGTTGCATTCCTGCACAGCCTTCCCGCTCAACACACATTCCCTCACACGCAGCAGCAATCGGTTAAAGGCGCACTCATTTCTTTCACCCTGCGGGTCTCACAGCGCGACCTAGCCGAGACCAAATTATTTCCTCGTTTGGGCGATTTTTCAGGTCTTTAAAAGTCGTTTTTTGAAGTTTTTAGTTGATAATTTGAAGATTTTTAGAAATTTTAAAGAAAATTTAGTGAAATTTGTCCTGATTAATGAAAAATCGAGATGAAAAGCGTCTTTTCTAGGTTGCTATACTTATATTTCCATGTAAAAAAATCCTTTGAAATTTGAATTTTTAAAATTAAATTGTATCTTTTTTATTCCTTCTCTCCTTCGAGAATTTTCAGTTTATGTCAGTTCCCTTTTCCCTTTTTCAATTTTTTTTTGCTTCACATTCTGCACACTGAAAATGCAAAGTACTCATGTTCAACTGTGTGTTCAACTGTATATTGTAGATGATAACTCTTATCGAGCCACCTAATTTTTGTGCAGTGTCAGCTTTCGAAACACAAAACGAGAATATGGAAAGTTACGTAACGCTGACCGCCTTTTTTCCTTCTCCCTCTACATGACATCACGAAATGCAGACAGCGAAGACGATTGAGAAAATAGCGCAATGTTGGGTGGAAACTAGGCGAAGATAACGTGTTGCGGGTTGAGAGAGAGGCAACATAACACCCGAGACAATACTTTCGCGAAGAGACGCAGGTGGTTCATAGAACAGAGAAACCGCGTCCGCCTCACACAGCCAGCCCCATCAGGCCTCTCCAGCCATCGCCGCATAGAGACACACACACATCATTTTGCCCCAATTTTCATTCCGTCAAGTATTTCGCAACTTCTCCATTTTGCTCCGTATTTTATAAGCTGATTTTTTTTGCAGAAGCATCCTTCTTCTACTTGGTCTGACCACATCAGATTACTGGGAGAACCAGTTGTGCATGTTCTTGTGCCCTCAGAAACTCGCGCTCATTTGCAATTATATGATCGACAACCCTCAAGAAGGTAAGTAAGTCAAACACGTGGCAACCTGGTTTGAAAAGCTAACATGTTAGCTGCCTGACGTGGAAGAAGTCTTCACCACGGTACTGCTCCCGGTAGAATACCAAAAACTTTGGCCCAAAATTCGCTTATTGAGTTGTACCGTATCTTTGGGTTTTAGTAAGTGTATTATTCTCATTTAGCAACGAATGTTTGTTTTCATGAACAACCCGCTGCTGAACTAGTTTTGTGTGTGGATATTCTGCCTAGGACATTCTATTCAAGAAGCGAAAGGGTTTGAACTACATTCAGGCTTGATAATATAACTCGTGCTTCTATTTGATGAAATTTAATCATAGTTCAGTTAATTACATATCAACTAGGTAGTATCAGCTGATCAGGTGCGCCCCTCTTAATGACAGGTTATCGACTTTGAAAACATGCCATAACCAATCAATAGTTAGTCGCAAAAGTGTAACAGCTATTCCAGTATAGTACATACGGATTAGAGTTCCACGATTGACACATTTTTCATTCACCTCGAAAAATCGTGTGTTCGCATTTTGTTTCTCCCATCCCCGCGCTTTCTGCCATAAACCCTGGAGTCGGTGGACACATAATCGGTTTGCAGAGAGAGAGAGAGAGAGTATCACCAACCACCGTTTCGTTTTTTCAGGGAGGTTGTCCAGAAAGAGAAAGAAACTGAAGATTTGCGAATCGATAGCGTCGTCATCTCTCGACGCCAGTGAATCCAAGATCGATTACAACAGTGTATGCGATTCTCAAAATCCACATATCAACCGGACTCGTGATATTTACCATTTGTAAGTATCTCTCAAAGAAGCAAGAAGTTACACCCTATGTTAGCGTTTTTCAGAAGACGGTCTAAACAAAAAATACCAAGATGGCTCTCAACGTGAACCGTGCTGTCGCTGATCCGTTCTACCGCTACAAGATGCCAAAGCTGTCGGCTAAGGTCGAAGGCAAGGGCAATGGAATCAAGACCGTCATCTCGAACATGTCTGATATCGCGAAGGCTCTCGAGCGTCCGCCAATGTGTACGTTTGCCGACGGACGTAGAACAAAATAAATAGATCTTTTTTCAGACCCCACCAAGTACTTTGGTTGTGAGCTCGGAGCTCAAACGAACTTCGATGCCAAGAACGAACGTTACATCGTCAATGGAGAGCATGATGCGAACAAGCTCCAAGATATTCTCGATGGATTCATCAAGAAATTTGTCCTGTGCAAGTCGTGTGAGAATCCAGAAACCCAATTGTTCGTTCGCAAGAACTGCATCAAGAGCAAGTGCAAAGCTTGTGGATGCTCATTTGACATTGATCTCAAGCACAAGTTGTCCACCTACATTATGAAGAACCCGCCAAAGATCGATGTAGATTTTTGTAAGTACTTCCCCTAAAAACTAGTTCTGACATGTGAGAACACATTTGCAATGTAAATCGAAAACATTCAAAAATTTTGATCAAAATTCCGACAATCCTCTTATGCCTTGTTTCCGTACAATAGCGGTGTATATTTAAACATGTAAATTTTCAGCCAAAGCCGAAGAGAAAAATGGAAAGAAGACATCGGGAGCTGACGCAAACGCTGCTCCTACTGCTGACATAATCCACGGTAGCGACAAGGGCAGTTCGAATGATGACGACGACGACGACTGGGAACCTGAACCAGTCGAGCCGAATGGCATGCTGTCGGCGGGAATGGGCAAGCTCGTGCTGGACAAGGATCTCGAGAAGAGCAAAGAGCAGCGTCTCGACATGCTTCATGACTTCTTGGTGAAGGCCAAAGATGAAGGTACCTATATCGCTTTTATCAATGAATCAAAGCAAAGTTTAAAACTTTCAGGTCGTATCAGTGATGCTAAAGGACAGACTGCATTGCGCGATGAAGCCGAGAGACTCGAGTTGAAACAGAAAGCATCGCTTCTTCTTGCCAATGTTCTTTTCGATGACAAGATTGTTTCTGACAAGCAGATCAACACCCATCGCAACCTTCTGCTTCGTTTTGTGATGAACGACAAGAAGGCGCAACTTTACTTGTTGAGAGGAATCGAGCAAGTCATTCACAGGTACGAGGATGATCTTCTCACCAAGTCGGCTCACATCATCAAGTCTTTGTACGATGCTGACATCTGCGAGGAGGAAGTATTATTGTCTTGGGGAGATAAGGTTAGTTGTTGTGATGTTTTCTGAATGCTTATAACTTTATTTTTGTAGCCATCCAGCAAGTATGTTTCAAAGTCCTTTGCCAAGAAGATCATCGAAAATGCCCAGCCAGTGCTCAAATGGCTCAAGGAAGCGGAAGAGGAGAGCGAAGAAGAGTCCGACGACGATATCGCGTTCGGAGGTGACGTCAAGGAGAGTGAGTTCCTTCGTCAACAAAAAGAGAAGGCCGCCAAAGAAGAACAAAAGGCTGCCGCCAGTGCTGCCAAGGCGTCCAATGGTACAGCCCAGGCCGATGACGAAGAAGACTTGGATATCGATGACATTTAAATTGTGTAGAGATGCTTTTTCACATAATTTCCTGTGGGCTTCGAATAATTATTTTCCATATTTTTTCCTCCGCCCTTCCAATGAAAATGTATTGTTGCTTTTTGCTCCTAACAAGCATCTTTTGATTCCTGTCTCTGTTTTTTCTGTCCTCTCTCTCTAACTCGCTATATTTCCCCTCTTCCATCAAATTCAGAATTCATCAACTATTATTATTCTCAATGAATCTACTCGTGAAATCCGATATACCAATATTTTTTGTACCAATAAATCTCATGTTGAAGCAGTCGAATATTAGGGTTTTCTGTAAAATTCTGAAATGCAGATAATTTCAGATGGGAACGCGACGGGTCCGTCGAAAAGACGGCGAATTTACACTTTTCTTCCGAAAAGTTAGCCCTTTTTCGAATCACCATCCTGCAGAATTTGATAGCGATGGGGCGATAAATTTCGAGAAAGAGGTCAAACGATTTTCGTGTACAGAACAGTTTTATATGTAAGAAAAATTTGCCGAGAATTCTGAACAAAAACTTTTCAGGTACAACAAGGCGTCGCTGATGGAAGATCGAAAATTGATGAGCGCCGTGCTGAGGTCCGATAATCCGAAGACCATGAAGGCAATGTGTTCTAAAGGGGCGTTGAGAGGGTGGAGAGATTCAGAGTGAGCAGAAATGATGAAATTTGTGAAAATTGGGATATTTTACGAATTTTGACCTAAATAAATGTTAAAAACATCAAAACAACCCCGAAAAACCCCAAAAACATGCTATTTTCACTCAAAAAATGATTATTTTTTTCATTTCGTCATTGCCGGCTGCGCGTCGGTGTTTGCGGACTTTCATCGACCGTAATCTCGCAAAAAAAATTTCCAAAAAACACTTTTTGCTCAATTTTTCACTTTGTACAGCTTTTTGCAGCAATTTAAGCAAAGGAAAAAACATGGAAAAAAAAATAGAAAAAATAGGAAATTTACAGATTTCACAAAAATCCCAAAAAATTCCAGATGGAACAAGCACAAGGAAGACGTCATGTACATTGGCTCAAAGGCGAAATACAGTGCTTCTCGACACCTTTGCTACGCGCTTTTCCTCTCAACTGGAAGCCAGCTTGTGGAATGCAGTCCGTTTGATCCGGTCTGGGGAATAGGTAGGTTAAAAAGTCGGGTCGTTCTGCTACTCCGTTCTATCAAAATACGGGAAATGCTCTTTATCTCAATTATCTCGGTTCCTATAAGAGTTCCTATAAGATATCAAAAAGTTGTTAACTGATAAAATGTTGCTGATATTATGATAAATATTTTATCAGTTGACAAATTTTTGATATCGTGCATAGGAATTGAGATATTTGAGAGATTATGGTAGCTCACCCAAAATTCCAATTTTCTGAAAAATTGAAGAAAAAAGCTATAAATAACTAAGAGACTATTACAGGGAATAATCTGGAAACGGTGATAAGCGATTCGTCGATTTCGCTGAGCACTGGGCAGAACTTGCTGGGAAAGATATTAGATCGAGTTAGAGACGAATTGTGGGAGGATGAGCAATATAGGTAAATATTATATTAGTACAAAATTGTGGAAGAGAAACACCGGCGGCCGCGGCCGAAGATCTCACAACGACAACTATCGTAACCTAAAAACAGTTTTGACGTTACGGTAGTTGTCGCTGTGGGACCTGCGACCACGGCTACCGCCTCTTCTACAGCTTCGACTTTTTTCGATTTTCTAAATTTCCTCTTGAAAATACACCACCTAAATTTCTAGAAACGAGAGAGAAGAAGTCGAAAAACGACTGAAACTTGATGACGATTATTTGCTGAAAGCCATGAAACACGTGGATTTGATGTACAAGGAACGGGCGACAGTGAGAAGCTTGTAAGTGGATGGACATCCGGACATTTGGATGCACAGATTGTTAATTTTCAGAATATCCATGGGCCACGTGTCACGAGACGATCAATCCTACCTGACTTCAGAAGTTCGACAGCTTCTACCGGAATGGGCACTTCCACCGCCAATAGAGAAATTCGAGCCGATTCGACCATCTCCGCCGGTTATCATTGATTTTCCAAGGTGGGGGTTTTTTCCGACCGACCGCCAAATGGTCGGCGGTCGGCCGACTAAATTTCCCGAAGCTTTAATTCCAACTTTTCAGAACGCCTCCTAGAAGATTCATGACTCCGGAGCGAATCTCTTCGGTTCACAAAAGAAGACGCAGATCCTCATCCAGACTGACGCTGAACAGAAGTTGGAGTAGAAGTCGTTCCAGAAGTCGCTCCAGAAGACGTTCTGAAAGAAATAGAGTCAAGAAAAGAAAACGTGAAGAAGATGACAGTGGATCGGAGTCTCCACCCTGGGGAATATCATGGAAAAGAAGAAGAAGGAGTAGAAGCGATTCTAGAAGACGTTCCAGGAGTAGTAAAGAATCTAGAAGACACTCGAGAAGTTCCGAAGAGAAAGAAGAACGACGACGACGAAAGAAGGAGAAGAGATCACGTCGATCAGAATCTCAAGAGGAACGACGTCGGATTCGGAAACAGAAGAAGCGGGAGAAGAAGGAGAAGAAGAAGGAGAAGAAGCAGCGTCGGAGAAGAAGGAGCTCATCGTCCTCGACGTCTTCTTAATTTATCAATTTTTTGAGTTATAATGCTTTATATGGTGCTTTATACAACTGATCCTCATTGCTCTTTTTTTGTTTAGTTTATTAAATTTTTCTAGAAATTCAAATTTCAAATACAAATATTATAATTACATCCGGTTGGACAACACTTCTGCTGAGGTGTCGTGTGACAATCGCGATCCTCATCACACCAGCTAACGGGTTCCGAGACGATGCATCGGAAGTTCAAATGCGTCACTGGGGGACAGTCACGACGGATCGGAGTGCAGCACTCGCGGTAGCGGATCATGTCGATGCAACGCTAGAAAATAGAATCTTCATTAAATTGAAAAGTTGGAAAAGTCATTAAACCAATTGGCCTTCGCCGCACTGATAGTTGGCGGTACAGTACATGTAGTGCGCGGAGCACTGTTGCATTTGCATTTGAATTTGGAGGGAGTATTGAGAAGGTTTTGGAGAGATTGGTTTGGCTGGAAAGTAGGTTTGAAATTTACAGATTTATCGATTTTTCTGAAATTTGAAAATTTCAGAAAATCGAAAATTTCTGCAACAATTTTTGATGGCTTTAATGTTAATCAGGTTCCTGATAGTGAAATTTCTGAACTTCCGAATTTGTGAGGTTCTGAGATTCTAAGATTCTGAGATTCCGAAATTCTGAAATTCAGAGATTCTGAGATCCTGAGATTCTGGGATCTTTAGATTCTGAGATTCTGAGATTATGAGATTCTGAGATTCTGAAATTCAGAGAAACAGAGTTTCGGAGATTCTAAGATTCTGAGATTATGAGATTTTGAAGTTTTGAAATACTGAATTTCAGAAATTCCGACTTTTCGACTTTCAGAATTTCTGAAATTTGGTTGTTTTCAAAATTTCGAAATCTCTGAATTTTCGAATTTCTGAATTTTTTGGAATTATCAAATTTCCGATTTTTCAATTTCAAATTTAGGAATTTCCGAATTTCTGGAATTCCGAGATTCCAAGATTTTGAGATTCTGAGATTCTGAATTCCTGAAATCCTGAAATTCTGAGATTCTAAGATTCCAAGATTCTGAATTCCTAAATGAAAACTCACCCCGAATCTCTCGTTCCACATGCAAGTCAACGTCATCATAGAATTTACACTCTGGCTTATAAATCTGTAGTCGTTGGAAATACAGACACCAGTCAATATGAGTACTAGAAAACGATGAATAGGCTGACGTAAGGGCCGTCAGGAATACGGTTAGCAGAATTTTGGAATAATTCATTTTGAATGGAATCTGCAGTTATAATTAAAAAAACTTGTAGTAATGCGGAAATGAATGAAATCAAAAGTGTCTTTTTTCTTTGTCTTTTTTGAAGCACCTCGTAAGACACGGGAAAGATAAGGGATCAAGTAGGCAGAAGAATCTGACTGACTCTATGCAAAAAATGAGGAGAAAAAGAGAGATGCAAATTGAAAACAAACAGTGGCACCTACTCGAAAAAAGAGAAAAAGACAGGAAGGGCGTTGGGAAAGTGCATACATGTTTCACAATTTATATTACAAAAGAAAGAAAGAATGAGGTATCCAGAAAAGGGAATATTCGGAATATTATTGGAATATTCAAATATTTGAGGTCAACTTCTTTTTTTTTTTTGGAGTTGGCTCTTTTTAGATTGCGCCGATTTTCGACTTTTGAAGTGTGGACACAAGACACATGTATTTTGTTTTTCTAGTCTTGATCTATTGGAAATACTTGGGAACCCTAGCTTTTGGAAGTTTAGGAATTCAGGAGATACTTTTTCTTGGAAAAAACTAGAAAAATACAGTTTTAGAGTACTCTACCCTCCGTCTTTCAACTTTGAGTCTGTATATCTAATTTCCTGTTACAGATATCAAAAAGTTGTCAACTGATAAAATTTTGGTGATAATGTGATAAACATTTTATATGTTGACTGCTTTTTGATATCTTTCACAGGAAGCGAGATATACGGACTCAAAATTGACGCTTTGGATGGCGCTCTATAGCTTACGGTATAAAGGTCTGTGTTTCTGACCATCGCTTGTGGTCTGGACATCCGATTTCATCCGAATTCAAGAACTTTAATTTATACAGTATCAAAATAAAACGATAACAACAATAATAGCTTGGATTTAAAGAAACTGTTACAGTATCGGAAAAATGCCATTTTTTGACTGTTTTATTGAAAAATAGTCAACTTTAAAAATTTCAAACAGTATTAGAGTACTCAACTCTCCGTCTTTCAGCTTTGAGACTGTATATCTAATTTCCTGTAAATGATATCGAAAAGTTGTCAACTGATAACATTTTGGTGATAATGTGATAAACATTTTATCAGTTGATTGCTTTTTGATATCTTTCACAGGAAGCGATATATACGGGCTCAAATTTTCCAAGGGGGGAGGGTGAAAGGAAAAATACACCACTGTTATAAACCTCCCCCCCCCTCCTTTGAGCCCGTATACCTCATTTTCTGTGATAGATATCAAATAGTGATCAACTAATAAAATGTTTATCATAAAGCTGGCAACATTTTATCAATTGTCTCATTTTTGATATCATTTACAGACACCGAGATAATTGAGCTCAAAGTGCAGGCCTCTGGCCTCTGTGAGAGCATTTACGGTAGTCAACCTTGGAGCCCTAGAAAAGTGCTTAAAAATTTTTTGATTTTTCTGAAAATTTCAGAATTATACTAAACAAAAATAGAGCTCTAATTTTTTAATTGAAGAATTTTTGGCCAATTCCATTCTGATGAGATAGGTAGCTTATAACCAAAAATGCATAATTTATCACTGAAATGGGGGTACGACGAATTCGAACGTTTTCAAAATCGAACAGACCTAAAATCGAACAGATTCAATTCAGAACAGTCCTTTTTTCGCACACGTACCAGAACAGAACGCGGACAGAATCGAACTGT